TGGGGGGCGCCTTAGGGGAAGCAGCCTTTGCAGCCCTCCCGTGGAGAGGGCGGGGGAAGGCGTGGCCCTCCTCCCTCTCCAGGCCACATGTGTGGACAATCACAAATATACTTTCTAACCTTATACTTTCAGTTAGGGATTTAAAAAATAAATTGTTTTCATCTTTGAATTGTAAATATATATATATATATATCTACATGTCTATATCACACACCGAGCCCACTGCCATCGAATCAATTCTGGCTCATAGCAACCCTGTAGGAGAGAGTTGAACTGCTCCTAGTCAGTTTCCAAAATGTGTACCTCTTTGCCGGAGGAGGAAGCCTCATCTCTCTCTGGAGGAGCTATTGGTGGTTTTGAACTGGTGACCTTGTGGATTGCAGCTCAGTGTATAATAACCACGCCACTGGGTCTCCGCATAACTCGGCCCTGGCTCATTTCACATTTTTCACATGTCCAGTTCAGTGGCATCAATGATCTTCCTCATGTTGTGTGGCCACCATCAAGATCTGTTGCCCAGGTTCCCATCACTGTAAACAGAACCCCTCTGCTTCCTGAACCATGACTCCCCTCTGTGCTCCCTCTACTCCACTCCAAGAAAAAGCTCACACGTTTTCCAGTCTCTTTCCAGCTCAGTTTTCCCATCAGCTCATCTATGGACCCGAATACAGTGCTTCCCACCCTCTTCCCAGGCCTGTGCACTTCTCCCGAGGCCACGGGTTCAGATGCCAGCATCTCCCTGCGAATTCCTGCTGCAGACTCCTCCCCGGCTCCACTGCCAGGCCCATCCTTCCCTGCCTCCTCCATCCTAACCGCCTCCCAGTGTGATGGTTCTGAAACAGAACGGCATCCGTGCAGTGCTTGCACAAACACCTCCCATGGGCCTTGCGTCCCGAGGCTAGACTCTGAGCTGGGTGTGTGGTGACTAACCAAGCTGTGGCTCCAGTGTCGCTCCTCATTAGCCCAGTGGTTTTGCCAGGGTGGGCCCACTGTGCTGGAATGAGCCCATTTGTCTCTTACCGTTGAGTCTTGGGGCTGCTGCTGCTCAGGTTGTGGGCACACTCTGCTCTCCTCCAGCCAGCTTCCTTCTGACAGCTGCTGGGAGGCCTTTTGTTCCCGCAGCCACTCTGGCGTCAGGAACCTGCTTAGCCCCTTGCCTCCCTTTTCTCCTGTGTCCTGGCCTGGCCTGTGCTTTGGTCCTTCTGTATCTGTGGTGCCCGGCACAGTGCCTGGCACAGGGGGGCGGCTCATGTCACATTTGATGATGAAAAATCTTCTGCAGCTGTGCCTACCCTGCACAAGTGGTGTTGGTGTCTAGTTGGCTCAGCATTGTTTGGCGGATGCTTCCTTAGGAGCCCTGGTGATGTAGTTGGCTGTCCAAACCCCCAGCTGTGCTGAGGTTGAAAGACGTGGCTGTCTGTGCCTGTAAGAACCCCACGCTGCGATTTGGTACTGACCTCAACCTCTGTGTTTGTTTTTTTTTAATATGGCTCTTGACAGGGTATAAGGCAGTATTAACTCTGTGTGTGTGTGCGGGGGGGGGGGGGGTCCCCTTTGTATTGTTCTCTCCCTTGTTCCCCTCCACGGGAACACTGGCCAGCAGAGCACCCATAACTGCTCACCTTTCTTCTTTATTTCTGTGCTTCAGTTGGAGGAAGGAACCCACTCATGTGTGAAGTCTCACCTCCGTGGTGTGTGTGTGTGTGTGTGTGTGTGTGTGTGTGTGCACGTGCGTGCTACTTACAATGAGTACTGCAGTAAGCTATGCTTCTGTGAACCAGGGGAATGGTCCGAGACAATGATCTGAATTGGGAATATGCACCTTATCGTCTGCCATGGAGCCCATCAAGTTCTTGGTTGGAGGGGCTTTTCTTCTCTGGAGAAAGCTGTCAGGATAGGGACCGCAGTCATTACCTGGGGCCCATCACTGGAATCCCATGCCCGGGCACCTGGAGGGCCGGTGAGCACGGACCCGCTCCATGAACAAATGAAGGATTGGCACACTTGTCTCAAGACGGATCTTCCTAAGGGCATCATTCGTGCCCACAACAAGTGAAACTGTGTGTTCAGATCTGTGGCGCCCATGTTTCATGCAAATGCCAGGCTCCGTCACATCTTTATTGGATAAGCCCCTGGCTTAAGGGGACAGATGATTAAATAGGAGCTTCCAGAAAACCCCAGTTTATGCGTTTCCTTACTGCTTCTGCTTAGTAAGGACACAACTTTTATATCTTTGCCTAACAGTTAGATTCCTTGGCTGGGCTCACAAATAAGGACATGTTTAAAGAAAGATGTCTTTTTATCATTTGTCTGAAAGCTGTGTAGTATGGGAGATTCCACACCTGTGCTCAGCAGCTAGGAAAGCACAAAGCATCTCCAAACAGCTACGATCCAGCTTCAGTGACTGAGGGGCACACGCTGGATCCATCCCTTCACCTACCCACTCTGACCCACAGTGGACTGTTTGGAAGTCAATTCCAGGAATTATATGGGGGTGGGGTAGGGGAAAGGAGCTCCCAAAATGGAATTGGAATGTGATAGAATATTTCCATGAACTTTTTGAAATGCCCCCGTCCCCCCACATTGTTTTTGCCTATAAATTCAGTCTCTCTAAAAGATGCCAAAACAACAACAGAAAAAGCTCGCTCTCATCAAGACAATGCTGACGCACAGCAACTGTGTAGGACACGGTAGAAACACCCCTGTGGGTTTCTCAGACTCTTTATGGGAGTAGAAAGCCTGCCTTTCTCCCAAGGAGCAGCTGGTAGGTTCAAACTGCTGACTTTGCAGTTAGCAGCCGAATGCAGAACCACTCTGCCACGGAGGCTCTGTCTCTAAATGATAAGGCTTTTTAGAAAGGACTGGTTTTGCCTTTCCTGGACTTGATAGAACTACATTTATATCAAAGTCTGGTATTGTTTTGTGTACTCACCATGTCTGTGAGCTGCATTCATCTAAGAGAAATCTATAGTTAATTTTGTGGCCGTGCGTTACCCTAATTATTCATGGAAAAAAGTTGACTCTTTTCGAAAGCAGAATCACAATGCCATTTGTACCCTGACGTATATTGACAAGATGTCCTTAATCTCCCCAGTGCTCATCTTTCCCCCAGTTGTTCTGTGTGGTTAGGGTTGGCTTGTTCCAATCAGGCTAAGAAAACATTTCCAGTGTTTGACAGATTGCTTCCTGTCCATTCGCAGCACACACTAGCGACCTTCCTGTGTATTTGTAGGAAGTGCTGGGTGTTTAGTTCAAGCATAGCATGACATGTAGAGGAAACAGATCGTATGGGGGTGAAGTGGGTTTGTGTGTGTGAGTGTGTGTGTGTGCCCATGCATGCGCCTCCCTACCCCACCACCTGTAGGTAAGGCTGAGCATCTACTAAAGTAGACATGGTAGCACCGTGGGTTACCCACTGGACTGCTCACACTGCAAGAGCAACGTTGGAGGTTCAAACCCACCAGCCATTTCCCTGGAGAAAGATGAGGTTGTCTGCTCCCATGGAGATCCCCAGCCTTGGAGGCCCAGAAGCAGCAGTCCTGTAAGGTTGCCATGAGCCAGAATCCTGGGTCTGGGTTTGGTCTGGGGCATCTAAGATGTGGAAAGAAATGACTCCGCGCCTTGCTTGTCTTCTTCTCCTGTTAACAGAATTCTGCCTCCTGCAAGGCAAGTGTGGTGGCTTTGAGCAAAAGAAGAGAAGCCACTCCGTGGACATGACCCCCGTGGCCTATAGAATGATGGCCCAGGTGGACATGCTGGATGCCGCGCACCAGAAGTCTTCCCCGGAGGAGCCGTTAAGTGCTTTGAAACAAGGTATTCCCAGATGTGTGGTGTGGTGAGTGAATGGCAAATTGAACTGCAGTATCCCTCACGAACCACATCTCCTCATTTTAATGAGGACTCGCAGTGGCCTCCTGGGAAACATTTGGAACTAGGATGGTGCCCCCCAGACTCCCGATTCCCTTGGTGGGATTGGTCTTGTGCTTGAGATGGGGGGAGGAGGGACACCTCAGGTGTGGACACTATGCTTTGAGCAAAGGGTGGTGGGAAGCAAAACTAAGCCTCGTTGTTGTCATCTGGCTGTCTCCGACTCCTGGTGACCCACGGTTACAGAGCAGCGCTGCCCCACCAGGCTTTCTTGGCCTTCGTGTCTATGGAAGCAGATAACCAGACCTTTCTTCGGCTGTGGCACTGGGTGGGTTTGAATTGCACACCTTCCCGTTGGCAGCTGAGTGCAAGCCATCGGGGCTGTGCCGCGACCTCTGCCTTCCGTGGAGCAGTGGGGATGGGCGTGGGAATGGGGTAGAGGGGTGAAGGAGGGAGGGGCGGCGGTTGTCCTTCGCTTTACCCACACACACTGTGGGGACGACGCAGGATAGCTAAGTCGACAGCAAGGGTAGAGAAGCCAAGGTTTGCATCTGCTCCGTGGAAACAATCCCTGCTCTCGCGGATGGAGCTTCGAGCATCACGGCGCCAGAACGCCCCGCGGGGAGGACTCACGGCACCTGGGACGTGCCTCCCTTGCGCGGTCCCTTGCTCTCTCTCCGAGGCACCTTGTCTTTTACAAAGCTGTTGGGGGGCCGGAGGAGCATCTTGGGGGTGTTTCTGTTTGGGAGGTGGGTGGAGTGGAGTGGGGAGTACCAGGGGAGGCGGAGACACAGTGAGGCCACGGCTCCGAATGGGGCTGGCTCAGCGGCATAGAAGAGCGACCGCCGACGGGCTTGAGTGGGTCCCGGCCGGGGAGATGCTTTTGGTTTCGGGGCACAAAGAAGCAGAGAGAGCAATGGGGTCCCACTGCAGAGCACGCCTCGAGGCTTGGGAGCCCGGTGACGCGAACAGGCTGCCCAGCAGCAGGGTGGGGAGTTGAGTCCATCCAGAGGTGTCTGGGAAGAAAAGCTGAGGATCAGCTTCCGCAAAGCCCCAGTGCCCGAGGCTCCCTGGGGCGCACCATTCTCTGACACGCCCCGGGCTGCCAGGCGTGGCGGTGGGCTACCTGGCAAAGGGCTCTTCCTGTCCTGTCGTAGGCAGGGCCGCAGGCCCTCCGCCTCCTCGCAGACGCACCATGGGCTGTTTTCAGCTGCTCATTGAATGATGTGCGCGGTTAGAACCCAGCAGGCTGGGTCCCCCAGGTGCTCTGCGTGACGGGACCGCGGGAAGATAGCTGCGGCTTTCTGTCATCCACAGGTGAGCCCCGGACGGAGTTCTTGGCGTCAGCCCGAGGCAGAGCAGGGAACCTGGGACTCGCCAGCTGGGCAGGAGTGGTTTGTTGGCTTGACCTTTGTGTCCTTGGCTCCTAAACCGGGCTTGACCGTGCAGTGTCAGTGGGGTGGCGGAGACCTACTAGTATTACCAGCGGCCATCACGTTGACTCCAAATCATGGTGACCCCACCTCACGGTGGCCCCGTGTGTATCAGAGTAGGACTGGATCCATAGGGCTTTCAATGGTGGATTTTTTTGGTTTGGGAAGTACTTTGCCAGGCCTCACTTCTGAGGTGCCTCTTGGTGGACTCAAATTCCTGACCTTTCCGTTAGCAGCAAGCCCACGAATCATTTGCACCTTCCGTGGACTCCAGGAGGGAGCTGGTTGCCCTTGGCTGCTGTCAGGTTGCTTCAACTGTCTTTGCCAGCACTATAATACAAACACATCGATTCTTCTTCCATCTTCCTCGTTCCGTGTCCAACTTTCATATGCAGAGATGGCAATTAAAAGTACCAGGGCTTGGGTCTGGCGCAGCTCAGTCCTCAAAGTAACCTCCTTGCTTGTCAGTTCTCTGAAGAGGTCCTGTGCGCCACGTTTGAGCTCTTGACTGCTGCTTCCAATATTGTGGATCCCAGCAAGAGGAACTCTTTGACAACTTCGATCTTTCCCTGCTTATCATGATGTTGCCCATGGGTCCAGTTGTGAGGATTCTGGTCTCCTTTCCATTGCGTCGTAATCAGTACTGAAGGCTGTAACCGATGCTGTTCAAGCCCTCCTCACTTTCGGTAAGCAAGGAGGTTACTTTGAGTCCTCCGTGGATTGTGTCCTCTGTATATGGCAGGTTGTTCATAAGCCTTCCTCCATTCCCGACGCCAAGTCTTCTTCATAGAATCCAGTTTCGCTGATGGTTGCTCAGCAGACAGACTGAGTGGGGATAGTGAGAGGATAGGCCCTTGATGCACACCTTTCCTGGTTTTCAGGGTCTCGGAGGAAGAGAGAAAGAGGACAAGTTTGAGGGCTAAAAGATGGTGAGAGAAATTTTTTAACAGATTCTCAGATTCTTATCCCAAGAGATCTAGCTGACCATGCATTATTCCCTCGTTCTCTTTGTACAACTGCCTCTTGATTCATGTAAAGATGCCACAGGAGCACAATTAGGTGTCCTGGAATTCCCCTGGCTCTCAGGGCTACCCATACTTTGTTATGATCCACACAGTCAAATACCTTGGCACAGTCAATACAACACAAGCAAACATCTTTCTGGTATCCACTGCTTCTAGCTCAGAGCCACCTGACGTCAGCAATGATATATCCCTCGTTCCACATCCTCTTCTGAATAATCCGGCCTGAACATCTGGCAGCTATCAGTGTACTGCTATGACCATTGCTGGATGGTCTTCAGCAAAATTTTACTTGCATGCGATATTAATGATATTGTTTTTTAATTTGAGAGTTCTGTTGGGTCACCTTTCATTGGAGTGGGTATAAATGTGGATCTCTTCCCAGTCATCTGGCCAACTAGCTGTCTTCCAAATTTCCTGGCATAGATGAATGAGTGCTTCCAGCGCTTCATCAGCTTGTTGAATCATTTCGCTTGGTGCTCCATCAATTCCTGAAGCCTTGTGTCGGGCTAATGCCTTCAGTGCAGCTTGAACATCTTCCTTCAGCACCACTTGCTCACATGCTACCATCTTGCCTTTATTAGTGAAAGAAGTGTCGTATCAAGTTGTCGTTTTACCCACTTCATTGCTTCAGAGTTTTTCACCATCTTAACATTTTTCAGAAAGGATGAAAGGAGAGACAGGAGTGACAGTAGGGCAGGCCTCAGTGCTTGTCCTCCGGGAGGGCAGAACACGGAAGCATGGCTGGCTGTTTTGGTCCGGCAACTAGAGGACCAGCCCCTTTGACCGACGTGCCTCACCTGCTGAAGTGTACCGTAGCTGCTGTGAATTGAAAGACAGGATGTGAAAAAAAGAATGCATCTTGGAACCTGTAGGGCTCTGAAGCATCATAGAAGTGCCGGCTAATGCTTATTAATTCAGTCTTGGATGATTTACTTCCGCAGAGATCATGCTAAAGAGTGGTCTAAATGACTTTCCAAGACAAGAATTGATTAGGCTTAATGAATGTTTAGTGAGCTGTTGGATAAAACACCGAACCCTGAGATACAGACGGGGGCTTCTCTTCCTCTCTCCCTCCCTTCCTGCCTTCCTCTGACAACAGTTGGTTGTTGATTGAGCTCCACTGTGACTGCGCAGGTGGGAACATCTATGAAAGAACTGGGGACCGGGCTCTTCCTTGTGGGGAGTCATGCACAGCCACCCCCAGCCCCGGCATATCCTCTGTTGCTTCCACAGATGCTCTGCTCTTAGAGAAGGATTTCCAGCCTTTTGTGGAGCTGCCGGAGCAGCAGCAGAGGGCTCTGCGCACCCTCCTGCAGGCAGCCCTGCTGGACGATGAACTGCTGACTGTCCTGGAAAGAGTGGTAAGCCCAGCGACCTCCTGAGGCCAGGTCTTCACCCTGGGTTTTTGCTTTTTAAGAAACCGAGATGGGCCTCATCTCAGGAGACAAGAATCGGAGGTTCCCTTACATATTTCCTCCACCTTCTTTTAACCTTCTAAACTGTGTCCTTTTTTTCTCTCTTCCCAGACCTTCAGTTTTCTAACTATTAGAATGAGAGTAGAACATTTGAGGGCTGCAGCCAGAAGTTACCATGCATGTGGTCACCTAAAGTCGCAGGCATTCTTTCTGTGTTCTGGAAGCCGCACATCTGAAACCAAGGTGCCGATAGGACCACACTCCTGCCAAGGGCTCCAGAGGAGGAGCTTCCCCTGTGTGCTTCCAGCTTCTGGGGGCTCCTCGCATTCCTTGGCTTGTGGCAGCATCCCTCTGACCTCAGCCCTCTCTTTGCCTGGCCTTTCTCTGTGTGTCTCCCTGTGTCCTCTCTTTTACTGCTGCTTATTAGGCCCCCCGTCATTGGGTGTGGGGCTCACCCTAGTCCAGGATGATCTCATTTTTACCTTAATTACCACTGCAAGTGCTTGATTCCAAGTCAGGCCTCCTCCTGCGCCTCCACATGGACACCTATTTTAGAGGCCATAATGTAACCCACCAAGGGAGCATGTGGCAGCAGAGCATTATTTAAATAGAGAAGTGGCCTTTGTCTTGTCCTGTTTTGCTGCAGAAGGCTTTCCTGGGAGGCTGAGCTCCTTCACTCTGAGTCACGATGAGGGGCACACCAGCTGCCAGCCCTGCGCCCACATTGTGTGTTTTCCTTCACTTAGGAGGGCTGAGGCTCTGGGCGTCTGACTTGCTATGTTTTTTTGGTTGGTTTGTTTCTCTCTTCTGCAGAGAGTTTGAGTTCTGACTCAATGCTTTATGATTTTCAGGAAAGTGTATGTATTATTTCCTCCCTCCTGAAAGTTGATTCTGCCAGCAAACACTTAGCCTCCACCACTGAACCTGAGGTGGTTGGAATGGCCGAGGAGCACCGGCGCCGACCGGTCCAGTCCTGTGCACACCGAGTGTGTGGAGGGCCTGCTAGCTGCAGGGAGACACACGTGTGTCCAAAAGCCCATCTACTTCCATTCCCCAAATAGCTCCTTTGGAGAGGAAAATGTCAGGCCAGCACCTTGTGGAAAGAACATCAGCCACCCTGTCAGATGCAGGGGAGCAGGCTGGCCAGGTGGTGGGGGGACACAGAGCAGACAGTGGGCGGGACCGAGGGGGCTCGGGCAACAGTAGCAGGCCCCAGGAGGACAGAGGTGACTGAGGGCTGGAGTGCTAATGGGAAAGCTTGAGTTCCACTGTCTTTATTATTATTTAAACATTTTAATTGTGAGTTAGGTGAAGGTCGATAGAGCAGATATCAATTTTATAGTCAGCCATTCATACATATTCTGTTCCAACCCATCCCTGGCAGGCCTCCATACCCCTTCCCCAGCCCCACTTCCTTCCTGTGCTGCCTGCTTCGGTGCTCCCCTTTCCCAACCCTCTGCGCTCGGTCCTTGAGCCCTTTGGATCTTTTTTTTTTTTTAATCATTTTATTAGGGGCTCATACAACTCTTATCACATTCCATACACACATCAATTGTATAAAGTGCATTTGTACATTCATTGCCCTCATCATTCTCAAAACATTTCCTCTC